TACTGTATGTCTTATGGCTTTCAATATATATATATATATATAAAAAAAAATATTCCGAGACCATCCAAGTGTCAGGTCAACGATGAAGCACGCATTTTCTACCCAATGTTATGATAACGTGCTGTCAGGAAATAGTACAAACACACCTCGTGGGGTGATGACATGAACATGGAGTAATGGTGAAATAAAGATTACCAGAAGAAATCTAAAGAATTTGAAAATAAAACCTGCTACAGTGCCACTTCATCCACCACAAATCTCACCTAAAGTCACCTGGGTTTCAACCTAGGACTCAGCAGTCAGAAACCACAGTCTAGCCGCCCGAACTATGACATAACCTAACAGATAAATTAAACTGTCCTAAGTTATCACGTTCTTATAATATTAATAATTCGCAGCTTAAGTTTGTAAATAAAAAATTTCTTGAAAAATACTAGAATGATAAAGCAGATGATCCATATAGTTACCACTGTTATTTAAGGGTTAAAACGTTAATAAGACGCTACCATCTGCTTATATCATAAACAACCAACACATTTATTCACATCAGTTTCCCTAATAATCAGTACCATAGAAGATGATAACAGTTCTGAGGGCGAAGGATGAGTTAGAATTTAGGTGACATTTGAGGTTCTCACGGCGGTCTGAAAATGACTGCCTTCTGTGAAGTTGTGCCGTGTAGTCTGTCGCAAGTTTACAGATGTTTCAGAGGTGTTTCCTGCATCCATCATAAGGACGATGCAAATTCCTAGAGGAGATTCATCTTCGAGCTAAAAGCTACTTCATTTCGGATGGAGCGATTAACCGGAAAATACATTTACTCTTACAGATGTAACCTCTTTAAAACATTTTAAAATAATAACTCAATAAATTAGCTATATTTACCATATCCTTCCATTTCTTGGGTTATCGTGACATCTTAATAAACAGCTAATATGAAAATTCGACAGGTACACAGTTCGCATCCTGGGATGAGATTTTTTTCTTGTAATATAGTTATCGATTTTCTTCGTTCTGCCAGGCAAATTCCAAAATGTCTTCCCCCTTTATGCCTGATTCGTGTCTCGGTTCATAATCATGGAACTGTGCCTCATTCGAATTCGTCCTACCTGTAACTATTTCAGAGATGTTGTCAGCAACTAAAATTCTATGGCGAGGAATGATGGTGATAGTGAATAATGAATTGCAACGGATGTGGAAGGAACCGGTAGTGTCCTATTTTAGGCAATACCCCGGCATTTACCTAGAGGTGGTTTGGAAAAACCTTGCTCGAGACAGCGAGTCTTCTGGCATCAAAGTCAAAACCATGTATAACGAGAGTTAGTGTCACGTTTTAATGTTGGTATCACCGATTCGCTTCTTTGTAAAAATTCAATTTCAGTTCCCCTCGTTTAATGCTAAGCTCCCATGATCTCCATCACCTCTCTTACTCAGAGCAGGCCATGTTATCATATCGACATGTAAACTTTCACCGCCTCCTTCATTCCCTAGAGGTCCAACAGATGTCACTCTTTGTCGATTATGAATAATTCATTATCGTGCTTCATTCATGCAGAAGCCAAGAAAATAATAAACAGGGGTTGCAAGGGGTGTAAGCAACACATGCGAAGGGGAGAGATCAGAATACAGATGTACAGGTCGAGAACACAGAAGGGGAACTTTGTGTAATCACAATATTGCGAAATGTAAGCGGAGCGGGACAATCTTTACGTGTGTGGTCACACGAAACCATTTTATCAGTTTCCTAATATAAGTAAAAACCAAGTATACTTGAACATTCCTGAAAGTGCAGGAAAGATAACGCATTCATTATAGTGAGTAAGCTTTCGGGGTTGATGACCAGGGTTCGATTCCAGGCAGGGAAAAAAGATCTCTTCATCACCATATTCAGAATGACTGTGGGGCCCACCCCGCCTTCTGGAAGTCTTTTCCCGGAGGTTAAACGGCCTAAGCGTGAAGCTTACCACTTACTTTCATTTCGTGCCAAAGTAAAGCTGAACTGTATATGAAGTCATCTATACGTCTTAAGGCCAGAATTATATTTATCGATGCGTTATGCTAAACCAATACCTTATTAATAAATTCTGTTAAGAACGTATACATGTTTCATACTTCCATTTGAACAGAGACGTTACGCGGAAGTTACACATTAATTATTAGGTTTATACGTAATCAACTCAGTTACGTAGTTCTGTACTTACTTTCTTGTATAACTAATTACCTCAACGTAAAAATTATCAAACAACGCGGACATAGGCCCGCACCTTTATTCTAAAGCGAAATGGAATAAGCACTAAGGTGATCGGCCGGTCCTAGAATAAACATGTATTATACTGCGAGATTATTGTAATCGGCAGAGGTTATAATTGCCATACTGAAAGTCTAAAGCTCTCCCTTCCCTCCTCCCCTCTCTCCAAGATATTCTAATACTCTTTTTAAGAAGCTGTTTGTACCTAAGATTTACGTGTTGTGTAATTCTCATACTGTAGACAATTCCACGCCAATGTAGAGCAATAAATCATGTAGCAAGTTGTCTATAAAATATTTACATAAATAAATGTTTGTAGTTAACTGAAAGTCTTCTGCGCAAAAAATGTGAACGTGATAATATATTAAATAATACTTAAATTTCAGATTATAACAAGTTTGATACTGTACAATATGGTTCTGCTTTATTTACTTTGTCCTTATATATATATATATATATTACTTCTGGTAGGTTTGCATTCTCAATAATTAGTCTTTCACTGCAACTGTCGGTATATTCGTGATGTTACTTAATTGGTTTACGATGGATAAATTAACTATTTTCCGTAATACAGAACACATAATTTAAAACTAAACTGTAACTACTAGAATGTTCTCAACGTAATTTGTCCTCCAATAGCGTAAAAATTTAAAAAACAACACCCACTACTTCATATAGTCTGTTTGTGTTCGGTATTAATAATCAAATATACAATGTACACACATTTCAACGCCACTGTTTGACTGCATCATAACTCTCTGAAAATTCTCACTCCTAATGTGTTAATAAATAACACCATATGAGCTTTAACAAGGTTTAGCGAGATTTTTCAGTCAGAAACAATTCAAAACACAGAACTGGTACAAATGTTTGTTTTAAATACGACCAGTATTACAAAACCACACAATCCATATCCGATTTGAAACCGCGAATGTAAACAGTAAATGCGGTTCGGTAGAAGGGGAAGTATTCTAACAAAGCGAGGGAGATCTGGAAAATGTCATCAAAATGGAAATTCGTTTATTACGCAATCAAAACATGTCCAAAAGTGTTTACATTTAAAACCACCATATAAAGCGGTTGTAAATTCTTCCACATCGTCATCGAAATTTGATTTTGAATACGTCATTTCCGATAGTTGCGCCTGTTCAGCTCATTGTTTTCGCATTCCTGATGGGAACACTCATCCCCCCCCCACACACACACACATACAGACCGAACAATAGCTCCTGTATGCGTTGAAACCCAGCTGACACCATCTGCTTTGCAATAGATCCGTTTCGTGGGGCATGCTCTGGTGAATTATTTGTATGTTCGGCTTCTAAGAGAATGAAAATTTTAGATGGAAAAACAGCGAAACTTCAACAGATTAAAAAGCTGCAGGTATGTGAAATATTTACGCCAATACTACCTTTCGTGCTATCTGCGTGAACATCTACAATTCTTACCACTCATCTCATAATGCTTTTATAGCAGGGATTTCGCCAGAAAAAGAGATTTTTATGCAAAAAATTGCGCGTGTCCGATATACAAGTCAAAGCAACTAAATAAAATATCAAGCTGTAATTTACACTGTGTTGACAATTTAAAATACAAGTCTTAGATCTAAATCCTGAAAGCTTAAAACGTGTTTATATGAAACTAAATGGTCCAGGAGTTATCGTCATATATAGCCAAAAATCTGATCTTTATTCCATACAGTAATCAGACGTAAGGTATTCGAGACACAGTCTTAAATTCTTCTGTATTTCTTTCAAATATTAATCATTTAAACTTCAGGAACCTACATATGTATAATTACGCCAAAGAGTAATTTATGTTTTAAACAATTAATAAAACCAATAAACGGAAATGGGATTCTTTTTGTTTTAACAAATGTCTAAAATTAACTGATTATATAAGTTAATATAATGTCTAAAAATTAATTTATTATACAATTATTAAATATGCTTAAGTAAATGTATGGATAGACGCGGACCCATGTGAAGAAGACAATAAAACTTTGTCTTTCATAAAAGACGTGGAATTCTTTCGCTATTTGAAAAACCATTTTGTTTCTCAAGAAGAACTCTTCTCCATGGAACTCATTAGGTTTACTCAGTTGATTGGTCAGTTTCGTAGTTACTTGGGTGGTTGGTTCAGCTAGTAAATTAATCATTTAACCAGTAATGACGTTTTAATTTCATAGCATGAGAAGCGTTTGCAGGTCCCGAGTTCAAATTCGATCAGAAGACCGGTTATCATAATGTATTTCGTGGTTTCTTTCAGTATTTCCAGACAAACGCTGAGGTTTTGCCGTAAATTAGGCTACAACCAATTCTTTCTACGTTCCTTTGGATCCATCATTCACTAATCACCTTACAAATTGACCCCATATATTTGATGAGGGGAAAGCAGTATAAATAAAAATGTATTTTTCCAAAAGCGATTTAAAATGAAATGATTTTTTCACAGTATAAAAATACTAACTTTAGTTTCAGAGTAATTAAACAGTTATTCAAACTCTGCAAAACATGTCAGCCTATATTATAATTTAAGCTACTATCAGTGTCGTTAAATAAACAAACAGTTTGCAGTTTTAAATCCTTTATAAAGTTGTTAATTGAAAATGAATTGTTTCGTGTAGAGATTCGTCTCACTGACAGAACTACAATAACCGTCAAACATAGAACGAGATCAAACATTTGGCATTGTCCATGTCCTTAAACATAAGAGTCTCTGATACGAGCAGTAACAGATCGCTTTGTTGCAGACGCCATCAAATTCGGCGTGAACCGACTGATGGACAGGGTGGATAAGGAAGACGTCGACGTCTGCCGCAATAACACCAGCAGGAGTGACGTCACTACCATGACTGACAAGCTATGCAGTTACGACAGCGGGGAGGAGCAGCGGTCACCCAGCATAGCATCACCCAGACTCGGCGGCAACCTGCATCAGGATACGTGGAGTCACGACAGGTCGCAACCCACGTCACCAGAACTAGAAGTCGACAGCCCCCCGAGGTCCCCAGAAGTCAACACAAGGTTAAAAAGTCCTTCACCAAGAAGACCTTCGTCAGTAACCGAGGTTAACGTAACAAAAACAGAAGTTACGCCCATCAAGAAATCTGAGACTTTCAGTGTAAGCGCTTTACTTAAGCCTGACATTCCTCGAAGTCGAAGATCGCCTTCGAGAGATTCATCGGCTTTGAACCATCGCGGAAACAACGGCGTGGGTCAATCATTCTCAGAGACGATTTCAGTGACGCGGTCTTTTATCTACCCTGGGCTACCTTTCGCCGATCTTCTAATGCGTGACGGTTTCATTAAAAACCAACACCACGAAAGCGACCACCATCATAATCATCACGACTACCCTGGCAGTTCACCTTCGAGTTTTTTTCCAAGGCATTTTGTAGGTCCTGGTTTTGGTATTCCTCCAGCTCTTTACCCAAGCATGTCAACAGCCGGGTTGTCAGCAACGTCACTTCCGGGAAGTGCAGGTGGGTGTGGCAGTAGTGGGCAAACGACGGGAAACATCTCCAAGAACGAACTTATGGATGGTAACAGGAACTTTCTGACGTCGCCCGCTGTGGGTTCGTTGTACTTCAGTTTAGGTGCCGTTCAAGCAGCGGCAGCAGCTGCAGCAATGGCCAATTCTTCGTCTTCATCGGTGTCTTCCAACGCAGGAAGTGCTGGCAGCACAGGCAGTGGGAGTCATCCCTCGTATCCCTCAGAGCATCCGAGCCATCACCCCACGGCTGAGGAGTTGTTCCGTCTGAGGAACCACTTCATGGCCGCAGCGGCCACTACCTCACCTGGAGGTCCCGGTTCGCTGCCTCACCAGCACGTGGTACCAGGCGGACCGGATCACCACCACCATCACCACCACCTCCTGATGAGGGGTCCCGGTGTGGTGCCTCTCGGAGACGTATACTCGTGCATAAAGTGTGAGAAGATGTTCTCCACGCCACACGGGCTCGAGGTTCACGCCAGGCGCTCTCACAACGGCAAAAGACCCTTCGCCTGCGAGTTATGCAACAAGACCTTCGGCCATGAGATCAGCCTTAGTCAGCACAGGTCAGTTTATGCTTTTCAGCCTCAAGTTAATTTACAAGGCCACGACTCCTCAAGACTCTTGGCATTTAGTACCTACTCCGTATCCTGTAAGTTACAGGAATGTCTTACATTGCAATTGTTCGTTAATAGTGATGTTGGACGAACTGCTTTGTATTCTGGAGGTACCCGGTTCAAATTCTGACCAGAAGACTAGCTGTTGCGAGAGGTTTTTCCTTCTCGTCCCTGAGCTCCAAATTAAAATTCCTGAGTCTCTGTAAGGTGCATAAAACTCTGAGAGTTTTTTCTATCGACCGGTGTAGGTGAGCAGTTCTAAGTATGTCGCATTTGTTTCTGTATAATTTTCAAAGTATAAAGTTCCTTTGTGATCTGCACTTTAAACCAGGCCACAACCATTTTCTTCCATATCCCTTGCAGTTTATTATTCATAAATCGGCTTATCATTCGCCACCATATATATATATAGTGCAGCCACTGAAGGCGTCGTTAAATAAAACACAAATAAATGAAATAATAACGATATCGATTTTTTACTGGAGGCCCACAAGACGTGAACAATAAATTCTATACTTTGTATTGAAATTTGGCTTGTATACGGTACCAAATAATTTTAAAGTTTTAGTCGATAAACCTCAAGGAAAAGACAACATGGAAAACTTAGGCATAGATGGGAGTATAATATTAAAATTAATTTAAACGAAAAATTGTTAGAGATATGACTGTACACTTATAAACACGGCACTGCACTTTCAGGTTTCACATAAATAGGGAATTTATTGTCTAGGTGACCTGTTAATTTCTTAAAGATATATTTTACTCAATGGATTGAATTACTTAATATCTACGTTATTTTATCTAATGGGAAATGAATATTCGTCCTAAGGTGCGTAGTTTGAGGCAAAAACATACTAAATTTCGTAAGAATCCTTATCTATTTAACACCGACAGAAATTTTAACTGAAACGTGTCAGAGTACCAAGCACAAATCCTCATACCATTTATAACAAATATGTCTACAGCGGAACTGTATGTAAAGAAGAGCTACCAACGCCTGCACGGTGACAAAACAAGTTAAAGAAACTTCTAATAAAATATTCATAAAACCCTCCAACTCCCTTGCCAAGGAAAGCTTCTTTATGCACAGAATACTGGAAAGACCCCTCCCCCTTACAAGTGCATGTCGTGGCCTACCTTACAGTACTGACCCCGTTACTATAGAAACGTGCCGTGCATGGACATGGCGGGCTACATCCTCAACGCGATGTCATGTCATGTTAGCAAAGAGAACAGCAATATTGGAACCTGCTAAATATTTTATAAATTTATTCCTCGAGAGTTTTCGTTTCTGTAACACTTGGTTATATATCACCGAAAGAAAATAGATGGGACCTATAGTCTACTTCTATTTTATGTACCTATAAAATTCTGGTTTTGTTGAAACTGTTTTACACAAATTTATCTTCAATCCTACCAAACTCTTTGAGTGCTCTGACCTCTGTAACAATTTAGATGTCTTTATTGTGGATTTAAAGTTTCTGGCTGGGGTAGGAGCGTATTATATTTTCCTTGCAGTCAGGGCAGAGAGAAGCTAATTCGAAATTCAACAGAGACAGACACAATATTACACATATTATTTATAACATGACATTTACAGACCTTAATAATGACTGAAATATTAAGAACGTGACTGGAATAATAAACAGTCATGTCAGTCGGTCTCTTGGTAGGGATTCGAACTACTTATCTCTCGAGTAGAAAGTAAGAGTGCTAACCGTGATGTTCGACCAAATATTGTTTATTATAAACCTCGTGGCTCGTATATTAACCCTTTAGATCCTAGTGATAACTATATATACCACCTGCTTTAATAATCAGAAAATCTGCATTTTACTTAAATGGATTTTGTATGATTATCAGACTAAATAGCGCTTTTTTTCTAAGCAGGATTAAAAAAATAATCTTTGTTAAGGAGAAGTTTTATATTTTTTGAAGTAATATTTCATTTTCAAATGTTATTCATATAAGGTTCGGCTTATATGGCAATTAAGGTAATGTTTAAAGTAGTACTTAAAAATATGTTTTAGTTGAAATGTCTTACAGAGCAGCATATACAAAATAAAATTATTAATTGTCTTAGTTTAATTAAAGAATATAATACGATTCAATGTAGCAAAACATTTCTTTTCGCGTTGTATAGAAGTATGCATACGTACATAGTACCATGGATAGATAAATTATCACCAACCAGTACATGCTTATTACATAGGTAGATGTGTATGAAGGATACTCAGTTTAGATGAAGTACATATACTAATGTGAATGTAAAGGTTACAGACTGTATATATTCCCCACTAATTTCAATAATGAAATATGAATTAAGTTTCAGAGTGGCCACTAACAATGAGCCACTTTTCAAAGCTTCCTCCTATCTT